AGTCAGGTGCTGTTGAGGGTATATAATTTAAATTGTTACATTGTTACCCCCCTCCCAATTTTCTCAACGAATTTAGACGTTTCACAAAAACGACCCCTGGGACTGTCAAATCCGCGGATTTCCGCGGATCCGCGGAAGAATCTCATCCCTGAATACTGCTCAAGGTGTCTTTCATAGCTAACGGGATCCGCTAGACTGGTCACGCTCCACCGCATCTAAGCACCATGCAACAGAGAGCCCCCGCGCAAAAGAACGCAGCGACAGTCAACGCGCACTCTCCGCTGACCTCCGCGTAAAATTGCAGAGTAATCAGGAATCATGGATGTGCACATACGGTGCCTCCTCCTCCAAGCTGGACCCAATCACGCAGAAATCACATTCATGCAGAAGAGAACGCAGAGCTCTCTGCATCGCGGGCTAGGCAAACTAAACTCTGCCTTACCGAGCAGGCTGGCATGCCTGGCTGTAACTCTTGTCAGCGGCTGCCGCGGAAACAGTGTCTCACTCTCCTCGTTTTCCCGATCCGCGGCACGCCACAGAGGGAGCCGGGTGAACCCGTGGTTAGGACGACCCACTAGTGTCATTGACGTACCAGCTGGATCCAGTCTGAAAGAAAACCCCAAAGTTACATTAATTCTTTGTCGCACCAATGTTGTTGTTGTTGTTTTTGTAGTTTTTATTGTTGGTGCTGTTGCTGTTGTTGTAGTTTTTATTGTTGGTGCTGTTGCTGTTGTTGTTTTTATTGTTTTCTTTTCTCCTCCTCTTCACCTTCTACTAATTTGAATAGGCGAACCCGACAGTGCACATACCCGCAAGATATCATTGGACTCTGCCCACTTTCACACACTCTGACAACGAGCTCAAGGCCACACGCGGCTAACAGATAATCTAACATTATATAGAGCCATGCATGCATGCATGAGGTACATGTATGCAGGGTGCGAAATTAACAGGATTCCGGAGTCAAATACTTCCGATTTACTGTCGGACTCCCTGGTTTGACATATATGCAGGAGTCCGTGTGACTCCCTGAAAATTCTGATATACTAACTAGTTAGTTCTGGAGCACGGCCTCGCGAAATTACATTAATTTTTCAGCTAATGTCCAAAGAAAATTTGGCAGACGTGCAACTGCATGAATCTTAAAAATAAGCATATGCGTTATTAATAATATCTTTAATTTTGAACCTCAGACTGCGGACTCCCTCATTTTGCTGCGGACTCCCTCTTTTTGAGGGTAGGGAGTCCGTTGGACTCCCTTGTTCAAAAGTTCACATAGATACCAAAATGGAAGCTGTTGGATGTGTATTCGTGCTGTGAAGGTGTGAAATGAAGCGAGTGTCGAGCGAATTTTGCGATCACGCTTTCCTACCTGCTCTCTTATTCATGTTGTTTGTGCACAGGGCGGGCGTACGGTGTACTTGTGTGTTGCGGATGAGCATTTGACCGACACTTACGGGTAATTATCGGCAATAATAGGCGAAATAGAGTAGAGAAATATTAAGACTTTGAACCTTGGTACTGCCACTGGTACTGGTAGTCAAATAATACATTTCGTGTTTACATTATTTTTTCTATTGAGACGTTCCAAGTGCCTGCGGTCACTACACTAGTCCGACCGTGATCAAAGGCATATTACTATTAGGGTTATATAAACCCATACTATTAAAATTAAGTTTCTTACTTCATAATCTACGTACATGTGCTAATCTACGTGTAACTTTGACCTACTTGCAGTAGAATCGTCCTTGTAGTTGCACTATCTCGTCGATTCGAACACTACTGCGCGTGACGCAAAAGTACAGGATGATTATATCAAATGCTCATCTGTTTTTAATGTGCGTTTGCAGCGCCCCTGCCGGCAACCTACGCTCAGAATGTGTGTTTTCGTTGTCGTTGACTCTCGTTGATCTCTCAACATATGTTAAATTAGTAATACCATCTTTGTAAGCAGTATATCGTTTACAAAAGCGTATCGAAGGACGCCATATACGTGGAACCAACCGAAATTTTCGTTTGCTTGTACCTGAGACATCACGTTTATAATCTGCCTCCATCTGTCTTTACACACACTGTCACTGTCACTGTCAGTGTCACTGACACAGTTCCACTTCCATTTCCACGTCAGTAGTCTAACTCGCGCTACTGGCACTGCTGGTAGTGGTAGTTGCGGTTGCTCCCCATTATCCATATTCACAACCCCATAAGTATTCAAATTCTAAGGGACTACTCCGGAGACAGGTGAAGTTGATCTAATTGATTGTTCCGTGCTGTCAGCAGCAGTCGCCGAGCCGAGCGTACGCTCGAGACATGTACACGCTGCTGTCTGGCTTCTACCGCTGGGCGGTGCAGAAGGACGAGTACTTTGTTCTCATCCTCGGCCTCGACAATGCCGGCAAGACGACGTTCCTCGAGCAGACGAAAACCAAGTTCAACAAGCGTTACGGACACACCGCGGCGACGAACCTAAGCAAGATCACGAGCACCGTGGGCCTCAACATCGGCCGCATCGACGTCAGCTCCTCGCGCCTCAACTTCTGGGACCTCGGTGGACAGGAGGAGCTGCAGGCACTCTGGGACAAATACTATGCGGAGTCACACGGCGTTGTCTACGTCGTCGATTCCACCGATCGGCAGCGTCTACACGAATCGAGGGCCGCCTTTGATAAGATGATAGTGAATGAGACTCTCGCGGGCGTGCCCCTCCTCATCCTTGCCAACAAGCAGGATGTCGAAGGATGCATGGGCGTCGGCGACGTGAAGGCAGCGTTCGGTGGGGGCGCCGGCGTCGGCCACCGCGACTGCCTCGTCATGCCTGTGTCGGCGCTGCGGGGCGACGGTGTCAATGAGGGAATTGGCTGGATGGTGAACTGTGTGAAGCGCAACGTACACCGTCCGCCGATAAACAAAGAGATATCGTGATCACAAGGAGATATCGTGATCATGAGGAGATATCGTGATCACAAAGAGATATCGTTATCCCTTGTAAGGAGATATCGTGACCACGAGGAGATATCGTGATCACAAGATATCGTGATCACAAGGAGATATCGTGATCACAAAGAGATATCGTGCGAGGGACACGTCGTCACACGTGATCAAGTGCCGAGGTAGCAGCGGGAGCGACGTGTCATCGTGCGAGGTCCTACGCTTCATCCCCTGATCTACCGCCAGCGTGCAGAGCTTGCATCCCCGGGTCTGATAGCAGTGATGTAACAAGTCAAGTCACTGACTTGGACTCGAGTCGACTCGAGTCGCATTTTCTGGTGACTTGACTTGACTCGAGTCGAGAACCCAAAATGACTTGACTTGACTCGAGTCACCACTGAAAATGACTTGACTTGACTCAATATGACTCGAGTCGTGGCCAGAGACTCGAGTCAAAGCACAGGACTTGAGTCGCCGTTTGATGACTCGAACACTTCTAAGTTATAGCTAGTGCATGCTAGCGCTAGCGCTAGCGAAACTCGGACCACAAGATTAGTTACATGTACATGATTAGATAGACGATCTTCACTCTTACGTACGTGCGCATGTCTAACTATATGTGCGCAGATCTTTTGAAGCCTTTGGACAGCTGTGCTGTGCTTAAATTTCCCGTTTTGCTTCTTAACTCATTTGACACCAAATGGCCAAGTAAAATCCTGTTATCAAATACCTTCGTACATCTTAGACCTAGACACTGATGAATATAGAATACTTAATTTAAATACCTATTTAACGTTACCAATCTACAATTTTTCTGTTGCTTATAGAATTATGGAAATAACATTGCAAATAGATTAGCTAAAAATCATGACAAATACTAATACAGATTAAACAATATTTTGTTACTTGCTAAAATTTATTTATTAAGTTTAATCTGTTTTATTGAAATGTTTTGTTTTTACATTTTGACGGTTGAGGACATGGGCTACATGTTTGTTTTTCATCGTATGTGCTGGCTCCAGCAGTTCATGCGCGTGACCGTGCGCAATATGGTGTCAATGTACGACGTACGTACATGTACGTCCTACCTTGGAAATCAGCGAAAGTATAGCTAAAGTAAAGTTACGGTACGGCTGAACGTGGCCGTAGTCAAGTTAACATTGACAGGCACGTGCACGCGCGGGCAACTACGGCGAGTTGTGTGATCAGGATTCCAGTCTATTTCCAGAGTCGTGTCATCTGCAGTCATTGCATCTTCTTTGAATAAATTTTATTGATATTCATTAATTGACTGATAATGATACTGTGGCTGTCATGGCAGAATCTGACGATCCTGGACCGTATGTAGTGCAGACAGCAGTGCATTGATTGCTTAAGTAGTGTCGGACCTATTGTTAGTGTGTTAGGGTCAAGTCTTGTGTGGTCCTTTGACATGACATTATAGAGTAGGCCTACTGCTAACAAAGATTAGGAATATTTGTATGCATGTAAAAACTCAAATTTGAGTTCATCAGGTAGTCGGGCAAGACACTTGGCCAACAATTGAAATAGAACAAGAGCAGTCAAAAACAAATAGTAATGAAAATAGTTAAGAAAATGATCTAAAGTGAACTAAACAAACTACATGCAAGAATCTGACATTTCATAAAATGACATCTGACATTAAATAGACATCTAAATAGACATCTGACATTTCATAAAATGGCTCTTGGGAAAAAGGGTCACCTGCCACTCTGAAGTGACTTGAGATGCCTTGTTGAACTCATTGAACAACTGACTCGAGTTGACTTGAGCAAAATTCTTGACTTGAATTGACTTGACTTGGCAATGTGTCTGACTTAACTTGACTTGACTTGGACAAATTAGTAAATGACTTGACTTGACTTGTGACTCGACCACTGTTGACTTGACTTGACTTGTGACTCGACCCGATGGTGACTCGTTATAACACTGCTTCGTTGCCACGCATCGTCGTTTATAATGTCGTACCACAGCATTAATTGACTAGAGCTGGCTCTAAACCACGCCAGGGATACACGTCAGTTGCAACATAGGCCTACATGTATACGTTCTGCGCATCTGTAAGGAAAGGAAATCCTCTGAGCATAATCTGCAGGGACGGACGCATTCCATTCTACATTCGTAGTAACTCAAATCGACAATCGCAATCAAATTAGCGGTGATGACGTCATTCAACACATGAGACAAGGATTTTCAGCGGGGGAGGGAGCATGACGTAATTTAACCTCACCCCTCACCCCACCCGCCCCCGCACGTTAGTGTGGAACGCTGTTGTCCTAACCAAGGGCTTTGAGAAAGAAAAATGTCCTTTTTATCGGTTGAGAGATCAGTTTTACAAGCACACAAACACGCACGCACGCACAGACCCACACGCAGACACGCACGCACGCACACACACACACACACACACACACACACACACACACAGTGGCGTAGGTTAGGGGGGGGGGGAAGGGGCCATGGCCCCCCTGTTGATCCGAAAGTGAAAAAAATAAGAAGAAGAATTGTACTACTAAAATTACAATTGTCGTAGTCAGAATGAAGGCTGTACATGTACTAAAAAGTGCCTCAAATACCATCTCCTGCGATCTACATTTTCAAAATTGTCTGGGGTGGAAAATCGATGATTTTCGTCTCAACCCTATGGCGTCGCGCGTGTCCTTGTTTTCGCAGAGTCAACTAGTGACGATTCTCGACTTTGATTGCCACTGCACGAGACACGCTACCCGTTAATAAGGCCGTGTCGGTGTTTAGCGATACCGACTCGCTGCGCCGAACCCCACGCGGACGTCGCCAACTGGTAAGGTTAAGAGCCTCATGTTGCATAATCCAGGACGCCCACTTCAATTCTCGGCTCCGGCGGTGAGGCTTAATGTATAATAGATCTGAAAGCGAGCCGTCAAATTTCAGGCCATGCTCCGGTCGTGATGAGGGAACCACACAGTAATACTCTGAATGAAAGCAGCATTCAACTTCGACGCCCTATTACGCTTGGTGATCGTGACCACATTCAAACAAAGCTTTCGAGCTTCGTCCGCGCACCCGAATGCTAAAAGCTCTGCATGATTTATGGTACACCGTCAGATGAAAGCCGGCTGTGTGTGTGCGTGCGTGCGTGCGTGCGTGCGTGCGTGCGTGCGTGTGTGTGCGTGCGTGGTCATCTCGATCCATGTGACAGCGTGTTTTCACCGTTCAGATAATGAGATATGAATCTCTGGAAAAAACTGATTTAACGTTGATCTATTAAACCTACAAAATGCACATTACTTGACATTAATTCCTAGTTTAAATCCTCCCCGTCCGCCCCACATATACATAACCGACACATTGTTTTTGTTTGGTTCCCCGTACCTTGGCGGAGACAGCGGTAACTAACGATTCTTCACGTGCAAGGAGCTACATATACCATAATTATATAGGTATATGTAGGTTCTTGCTCACGTGATGCCCGCATACCATCTAGAAATGTACAAGCATTTTTGATGTGCCTTCATGATCTCGCCTCCATATTGAATTCAGATGCGAAGTATTACGAAATCTTGTGTTCAAATGTAATTTCAACGCGTCCGCACTGCTGGATACTGCCAGACACACCTTCGCCAAGGTAGGAAACCGCTAAAACATTTTCTTAGGATTACGAAGAAGTGATACGACTACCGTAGAACGTTGAAATACGGCCAAAGTTACCAATTTTGTTACCAACGCAACCCCCAGCATTGCGCACGGCTGTTATATTGTTGGACGCTGTTAATTTCAAATCGTTGTATGCAAACTCTTCCGGCTTCCTCTTCGATTGGAATTTACATCACATTGAGGTTCAATGTACAGGCTTCACGACGTAGTCTCTATTTTTATGAAATTAAAAAGATAAGTACGTGCGGTAACGCGACGAAGATCGGAGCAGCATTGCTAAATTAAAACGCAGTGACTGGAGGTACGGCAGCCGTTGTTCGTTGAAGCCCCTTTTTGGCGTTAGGGTTATGGTTAGGGTTAGTGTTAGGGTTAGGGTTAGGGTTCTAGCTCATCTAAACTCTCAAATCGGAATTTATTTCCAAGCGTTATTCGAAATCTGGCGCCACCGCCGCCATCTTTGTCTCGTTAAGTATGAAAGCGAATGGACTGCCGTACCTCCACCCTCGAGACATTAAGATACGGCTGCCGTACCCGTAGCCACAGCGAAATTAAAATGCCTCTACCTATACAGTAACGTAAACACACGTAGGCCTACACGGTACTATCCCGTAGATTTACATAGGCAGTTAAAATCACGAACGGTGTTAGATGTAGCTCTAGAACTATAGCCCTTCGCTTTGCCAAGGCTCCTGTGGCAGAGCGAACACACACACACAGACATGTACACGTACATGTATCTGGGAGACTGATGCAAGAAACCCTTTGTCCGGGGTACCCTGCAAGCTAGTGCGTTGTACCATCTTTTACCAGAGTCATTGGGATGGACATTTATCCAGAAATCTACTCAAGGGTAGCTCAGCTCTATTTTAAATTCATTTTTGAATCAAAATATGAATCATTCAGTCAGCTACTGCGCATGCGCGAACCCGGATTTGAGCTTATTCATTTCTAAAATATTTGCCAATGTAGTAGGGAGTCATATCCTGGGTCACATATGCCTAGTAGCTGTTAAAATGACGAGTATTTCGACGAATATATACACGTAGGTCCCTACATGTATCTGGGAGACTGAAGCCAGAAACGCTCTATCCGTGGTATCCTGCAAGCTAGGGCGTCGTACCATCTTTTACCAGAGTCATTGCGATGAATATTTATCACAGAAATCTACTCAAGGGTAGCCCAGCTCTATTTTAAATTCATTTTTTAATCAAAATATGAATCATTCAGTTAGCTACTGCGCATGCGCGAACCCGTATTTTATTCTAGTCAGCATAGATAAATTTCTAAAGTATTTGCCAATGTAGTAGGGAGTCATACCCTTGGTCACATATGCCCAGTACCTGTTAAAAAGTATTTCGACGAATATATACACGGACATGTATTTGGGTGGGCGGGAACGGATGAAGTCGGGATTTTGCACCTTACAGACTAGGGCGCTCTCCTAATTATGAACACAGGTCTACTGATACCAATTAATTACAGAAATTTATGCTGAGATATCCCCTAAGCATATTAAATTGATAATCATCACAAAATATAACTCTTCTAGTGAGATATTGCGCATGCGCTAACACACTAACGTGGCCAGATTATGTACTGTCTGGGATATGCAGCGGAGACCTTACATGCAGGATCATCGTCCTGTTTCTTAAGTGAAATCTACTGATGGAATTTTATTATAGAAATCTATGCTAGAATACCTCCTTTCTATTTTAAATGCATAATTTTCGCAAAAGATTAGTATTCTCGGCCGTGAGATATTGCGCATGCGCGAGCACCGTTTCAGGCGTGGGCAGTACGCGACTGAATACAACTGCATAATATAGCTTGCTGAGCAGAGGAGTGAGTGATGGGAGACTGGGAAAGGCAGCAGGGAAAGATAGCTGTGAGCGGAGAAAAAGAAGGAGGCTGAGCTAAGAAATGAGGAAGGATGGCGTGCAGCGGATGATAGTAGGGATTTAGCACCTACAGGCTAGGGCGTTCTCCTAATTAGTAACACAGGCTACTGATAACAATTAATTACAGAAATCTATGCTGAGATAACGCCTCGTAACAATATTGAATTCATAATCATCACAAAATATAACTCTTCTAGTGAGATATTGCGCATGTACTAACACAACTAACGTTGCCAGATTATGTACTGGCTGGATATGCAGCGCAAGACCTTACATGCAGGATCATCGTCCTGTTTCTAAGTGAAATCTACTGATGGAATTTTATCATAGAAATCTATGCTAGATAATCTCCGCTCTATTTAAATGCTAATTTTCGCAAAAGATTAGTATTCTCGGGAGATATTGCGCATGCGGCGAGCACCGTTTCAGGCGTGCAGTACGGACTGAATACAACTGCATAATATAGCTTGCTGAGAGAGGGAGTGAGTGATGGGAGACTGGGGAAAGACAGCAGCGAAGATAGCTGGGGCGGGAGAAAAATAAGGAGGTTGAGCGAAAGACAATGGGGGCAAGGGGGTGGGCGTGAGCGAATGAAGTAGGGATTTAGCACCCTACAGACTAGGGCACTCTCCTAATTATAAACACAGGTCTACTGATAACAATTAATTATAGAAATCTATGCTGAGATACCCCCTAACCCTATTAATTCATAATCATTACAAAATATAACTCTTC